CTCACAGTAGTAGGGGAGGGGGCCGTTACACTGTAAGAGATGGTGGCACTGGTCTCACAGTGAACCGGTCTCTTTTCCTGCTATTCACTTCAGCTCTCATATGATTGGTTCAAGTGTTGTTTGTTCATGCATAAAAATGCATGAATAAATAACCTTTAGCATATGTGGTATTACTTTTTCATTTCGAATCCATTGTCCCTATACAATTAATAAAATCTCACACATACTTGTCCATATTTTTTTTTAACAGTATACCCACCTGTCGTGTCAAACCAACAAGGCTGCCCTGGCTTGATGGGAAGTCAGATTCTACCCCAAACACAGCAAGGCATTGTGGGACCTTACCCATCCGTATCCTCCTATCAGGTACTGATGCAAAAAAAAAAAAAAAACTACAGGAAATGTCGTTCTGAATTATAAAATGTATGTATATGTGCTTTTTCTCTTGTAACAAGGTACCACAGCAGCAGCAACAACAACAGTCCTATCCTGCAATGCTGGTGTCAGGACAAGGTGGGCAGACACAGTGTTTGGTGCCCCCTGCTGGAGTTCAAGTATACTGTAGCTCTTTGGCCCCTTCTTCCCCTCCACCACTCAATATGATGGGGGTCTCCTTCCAGTCAAGTAGCTGCAAAAATGGCTGTAGCGTTAATCAGAACCAGTGCTGGTACTAAAAGACACCGTGTTCACATATAGTGTTATTATGAATTCATCATATGCATTCAGTATTTGTAGCCACACAATTGTTCTCTACAGTCTGATAATAGAATCCTTCAGATTCAACCTTTTCTACTTTGTCAAAAACACGTTTCGAATTTTACTTTACATGGACATCGATAGCATCATGTTTAAATTGCTATTAGAGCATAATTTATACTATTTATATTATTACTTGTTTTGCTTAATATGGATAAAATGTTATATTTGAATGGTATGTAATACTATATTTATCTTGTTTATAGAGGGCTATATTACATAATTGGGAATGAAACTAGATTCAGTGTTTTCCGTTATCAAAACAGTATCAACCGTTTTAAAATATATTTTGGTTTGTTTGTTTGTTTTCCAGAATTTTATTAAGATGTAACATTTGACCAGACTGGACAATATCTAAGTGGCATTTCTTAAATATATGTACTTTTAAATGGTAATCTGTTTGATGTCTTCTTGTATGTTTTACTGCATTCATTATGGGGTCAGCTGATGTTCTCATAGGCGTTTTATTGGGGTGTTGATTTTACATTGACGTTGGCCTTTTCAGACATTCAGGGAAATGTAACATTTTACGATTAAGATATAGATTTGATAAGAACTCACTATAACGCCCTCTGTTGCTTATAAGAGAGCACTACAATAACAAAGCATTTATTTAAAATTAATCGTGAATCATTCAGACAGAATTAATTGTTTTATTGAAAAGATCCGAATCAGAACGATTCATCCGCAAATCGGACATCGCTATTTATCACGTGAATTAAGGATCGTAGAGAAGTCGCTTGGCGGCAGCAGTGAAACTGATAAAACCTTGCCTGACAATGAAGGTACCTTCGATAATCATTATCTATATTTCGGCAGACGTGTTTTCTATCAACTGTTCAAAACTGGACTAGAACTGAAATTGTTTGCGATTCAGTTTGATTCATTCGGAAAGCCAAAATTTCCCTATTGTGTCCCACAGATGAAAAAGTCAGGTGTGGAACAACACGAGGGTGACTAAACGTGGACATAACTTTATTTTTGGGGGGTAAATTGTCCCTTTAAACAAAAAGCACGTGGTTTGTTACCCACATTACAATATATGTTGACCTATAGTAAATTACGGTTTTAAACATGCATTTATCAGTGTAAAATAAGTGTTTGTCAACAAGCAGTCAAGAAAGAAAGCAGTGACAAGTTTAAATGAGCTTTAATAGAAAGGCACATATACAGCCAGAGTGAGAATTAAAAGCTTTTAAATGCAGAAACAGTTTAAAATAAACTCCTCCAATCAGAAGTGACAGTCTCTGCCAGATCAGCTAAACTGTTTGTTGTTCTGTCGTTCATGAATTCAAGTGTCAAAACTAAATCACAGCTGCTTTCATCCGAACTGAGATCCGATTACCCCATTGGCTCTTTTGTAGCCCCCAGCTTTGTGTGTGTGTGTGTGTGTGTGTGTGTGTGTGTGT